TTTTTTTTTTTTTTTTTTTTTTTTCTTCCTTCCTTCCCTTTTCTTTTCTCTCTCTTCTTTTCTTTTTCTTTTCTCTCTCTTCTTTCCTTTTGCTTTCCCTTTCTTTCCAGCCGTGTCTTTTCTACTCTTTTTGTCTTCCTTTCTCAGCATACAAATAGCTATTCTTATAGAGGAAAAATCCATCAGATCTGATCCAACCACAATTGATAAATTAATTATTGGTTGAGAGTTGATGGAATATTAGGAAGAAGAATCATTTGGTGAAGAATCATTTGGTAGAATATTAGTTATCAAATAATTTACACTCATTGACTAACATGTCTGTCCGGTCTGGATCGGGCACTGGGTTATGTATGCGGGCCCGTCTGCCCAACCGCTCAGCAGCTGCCTAACGCCGTGCCTGATTTCGTAACACAAGAAGATTAAGTAAACATTTCTCACAATAGACTGCAAAACTAGTAATAAGATTGTGTGAACTTATACATCGATCGAAATAAAAAAAATAAAAAAAAAAATTAGAAAGTGAAAATGTGCGAAATATATGTAGTATACCAATGGATGGTGACATTGTTGGGCACGTGGTTGACCACTTCGACCACGACACGGTCGCCCTCCCTAGCCACGATGGGAGGTCCCGGGAACTTTCCGTTAACGGTAATAATGCTTTTCGTCTTGCATAATCTAGTCATGTTTTGCAATTTTACCTGCACGACACGTTTTGGATACAATTAGTACGCATTAATATTCGTTCATCACGTACTAATTGTGGCACGCTAGTCGGTTATGTAAGAACTTTGTTGAAAATGATGGCTACTTACATTGAACTGGTAATGCCTCGTTTGCTGGGCCGTAACTGGAAATTCATGAACCGAAAGAACGCAAAGAAAAGAAATCAGAAATACGGCCGACGAAGCCATGGCTGTCCGAACTAAAGTGAGAAATATAAATTTGTTTGGGATGACATACTTTGAGAAATGCAGTTTTCTTATATAGGGACTCACAGTTTGTGTGTTTGGTTGGCTAAAAATTAGTTTAGAAATTTAAATTTGTGGTAAGAAAGTGAGGAAAATTGTAATAAAAGAAAAATTGGATAGTTAGTATAGGATGATACCGAACCAACAGTTGGCCCAATAATCAGTGTAAATTAAGTGACCATCATTTGATTGGACATTCTAGCTTACTATAATGGTATTGTCAACTCTGTATCTTCTATTATAGTTCATTTTTCCCTTGTTATACAATCCAAACTCATTGTGTATTTCTTTTAATGTTAATATAAATATATATATATATATATATATTTATTTAAACATATATAATTATCTAACGGACTGCCTAACAACAGTCCCAAAACTGATGGTGAATTGTTAGACCGAATGAAGGTGCAATAATTCTATAGTACTAATTTTATTGTGTCCACTTTAAAGATTTTGCAACACGTGAATGGACATTTGCTCCACATGTTCTTCTATAATTTAGCCAATGTTATTCTATTTTAGGGGGAGAAAAAAGCCAATTACATATCATGCAGTTAACAAATGCAACCGTTAACTTTTCTAATAAGACACTGACAGCAATATCCAAAATCATTTTTTTGTCTTTAAGGTTAATTGATAATTGCATCAAGACCTAACATTTGCATGTAAGACTGTCATCAGTCCGTGTAAATTGACATTTTATCGTATCCACTTTTATTGGTGTACAAGAAAAGAATTATTTTCATGTATCAAATAATAGTTTACTATAAACATGAGTACAAGATTCACCTTAAAGTATAAAACTTTGATGTTTAATTATAGCGTAATTTGTACAACATAAGAGAGTTACTATAACAGGAAAAAAAAATAATAATAATAATAATAATAATAATAATAATAATAATAAGTTACATTGTAAGATTTGGGATAGGAAAATTAGAAATTGCCCCCAAAGCTGCTTGAGATTTCACTCAGTTTAATATATCTCGAATTCTCAATTATTGTTGAATTGGAAAAAATTGCTAAGGTAAGCAAATACTTTTGACCTAATTTTGCAAGAGGGGAGTGAACGATCTGGCAAGGTTCGGGCAAGAATACTGTGGCAGCTGCAGATCAGCCTAGTTTTGTCTATGTGGTTGAATTATCATTTTTGGGTTATATGTCAGTAGCTTATTGGGCCAAATAAGTATTATGTTGTTGGGCCATTTATTTACTTGCTAGTATATGTTAGGCCCAAGTAGAGTTAATGAATTAAGCACTAGTACGTGGCCCGTGCAATGCACGGGGAAATAATATTACGATTGTATTATAAATTAAATATATACATAATATTAATCATGATTTACCCATTGTTTTTAAAATTGGACCAGACCGAACAGTACTCTGACCGGATAGATAGGGAATTGGTTTATCAACCAGTCCGGTTCGCTTGAATAAAATGTTAGGCTAGCAAACCGGTCAACACCAGTCCATCGAAAATATCGATATTTTTGAAATAAATTTTGTTACATTTAAAATTATTTTTAATATAAATCAAAATACATATTTAAATAAAATGTAGATTTATAAATCATTTATCATTTAGTTTAAACATTGAATACTTTTAAATTATTTAAAAATTTAAGTAAAATTTTGTATATATATTGAAACATTGAAAACTTAGTTACCTCCCATGAAAAGAAACATAATTTTCTTCTCATATTTATGATATATGTTCATAGAAATGAGATTTTTATGCATACACGTTTCATATGTTTGAGAATCTTAAGATCGTTTAGATTCTCTTAAAAAAATTTATCCATATTTGCATTTTTAAACTCTTTTTGAATTAAAAGTAATGGCGCCATTTGACATGTTTGCAATTTTACAGATTAATCACAATGTCCCATTATGATTCTTTTGTTTTGTCATGTTTTTATTATAGTTACAAAAGTTCCTTAATTATCATGAGCTTTATTATGATTTTAATCATGATCTTATGGGATTTTTTTTTAACTAAATCGATGTTATGGGATAAAACAAATCTATATTTACCTTTGACTTTTCCAACAAAGGTAAAAAATCGGTTCTGATTTATATCACATAACAAATCTTTAATGTCAAGACTATAAATACCAAAACAAATCTGTAATTAATGTAATTTTATTTTCAGCAAGTATTAATTAACTTTGATTTTTCTGCCTACTATTTCTAGTAAATAGGATGTCTTTTTATATAAGTATAGATGTGTGATATGCGTATGTGGTGAACACATTGGTCCCAAAATTTGTTACAAAAAAGGGCATATTTGTTGAAGTTTTAATGGATTATTGAGAAATTCTTTCTCTCTCTCCTTTCTACAATTTCTCCTCCATTTCTGTATCTCCTTATTCTAAACAAATACATAAGATACTCCAAAAAAATATAGAAAATACAACGTTTGGTTACACCAGTCCCTAAGCTGAAATTTTCCATATTTGTTGGGAGAAATTATTATAAATTATGTCATCCAGATTTGAGGAACTCAAGGAGGAAAAAATAATTGCAGAATTCAACAAGCTTAAACAGATCAGTTTTTATGATGGCTATGTAGAAACCCTACAACAGACTATTGTTTTCAAACTCCTTATTGACACTTAATAATAAGAATAAAACATCAATGGTCACAACTATGTTCCCATAATTATTATTAAAAATTCAATGCCTTTGTTTTCATTGTAATATCAACCACAAGAGTGAAGAGTAAAAGAGGTCCAAAACCTTTTCTTTGTGGAGATTGGAGGACAGCCACACCTAAACTTGGCCTACTGCATATTATATGTATTAGTACGAAAACGAAAATAAGTGTAAACAAAATCACATATCTAAAATTAGATAAAAAGAAATAATGATGATAAGCCTCCTTTTACAGTAGACCGGTCAGCAAGCATCAACTTGTCTTTTGGAAGATAAAATATATAAATCAAACGTATAATTTGCAGAGGCTTTTACAATTCTTTCTCTTCTGCCTGCCAAAATTGAATATTTCACCCACCCTTTTGAAATGAATAAAATAAATAAATCTGTATATATCATAATTTAATTAATGACCAAAAACTAAAAAGCAGCCGAATGACCATCCTGCCCTCCGACCCTACCGCCCCGGATTCCGCCCCTATTCCTCCTCAACATGTACCTACTGAAAATCGACAGCCCCGAACCCGCATTCGAACCTGAAACACCCGCCCGCCCGGCCTGTCCAGCCCGCCTGAACACCGAGCCCAAAAGCCTCCGCCAGCCGCTCCTCCGCCGCCCGACCCACGGAACCCACTCGATCTCCCCGTACTCCTCGCCGCCGCTGAGGCCGCTCGGGCTCTCGTCCAACTCCGAGTAAACCGCCGGCATCGCCCCGTCCCCTCCCCCGGCGAACCTCCCCACCGCGAAGCCGCCGCCGGGCAGCCTCCATATCGACAGCCCCGCCGCCGCCTCGGTCGCACCCCCCGCCGCGTCGCTAGGGAGCTCTCGCCGGCAGATCGGGCAGGAGCTGTGGCGGTCGAGCCACGGGAGGATGCAGTCCGGGTGGTAGATGTGCTTGCAGGGCATCTCGCGGGCCTCCGACCCGAGCGCGAAGGCGTCCGTGCACACGGCGCACCGCGAGTCGGCGTCTACCTGGCCGGCCGAGATCCGCACCGCCGGCAGCGACGCGACTGCGCTCTTGCTGGCCGGGGGATTCTCCGGTTGGGCCCAGAGGCTGAACCCGATCTGCGAGAGGCGGTCGAGCATCAGATCGAATCCGGATCCAAGCAGGGTCTCGGACATGGCGGGAGGCAGCGGGCGTAGACCTTGGCCCGATCCGCCGTCGTAGTACAAATCGAAGGTCCTCTGGGCGGCTCCGCCGGCGGGCGGGCGGAGGGCGATTACGGGATTGAAGGACGAATCGTTCCGACGGCGGTGGCGGCGGCGGCCGCTGGCCGCCGCCGGATGCAGGGAGAAATTCGAAGGGTCCACGGCTTGTACGAATCCGCCGTGGCAGTGGGGGCAGACGATAGCGCCATCGGAAGCGAGGGAAATGGTTACGGTGCACTGGTAGCACCAATACGACGTCATAGAAGCCATTGGAGTTGTTGTCGATGAAGATAGGAATGATTGACTGACAGAGTATATGTATATGTGTGTATATATTCCGATTGTAATTTCGTGGTGTGTATGAGCTGTCAAGAGAGTGAAAACGAGGAGAGAGAAAGTTGTGGCAGTCCACAAGAAACAGAAATATGAACGCTTGCTTGCTTTTACACGTTTATATGACCAAAAATAAATACTAATATTTATTAGTAACAAATAGTGTCTACATGAGAATTATGATTTTATTTTTATTGAAAAAACGCGTGACCACGCTGGTGGTGTTAACGGCAAAGTTAACTACGTATTGTATGGGTCAATAGTAGAAAAAATTAGAAATATTTAAAAAGGGTAACTTGTGGAATTAGAACAATAGTGTTTAAGTAAAGTAGAGTAGGGTTTGTGCGTTTGAAATATGAGAAGATTATTGAATTGAGTTACCACAAGAGTTCCTTGGAGGCCTCCGGTTGACTAGTCAACAACAAAAGTTCGGCAATGAATACGAAATGTAATTAAGACGAACAAAACATAAATGTGATCGAAATAAATGTTTGTTTTATTAACTTTGCACGTTGTTATTGTGTTTTTCGTGTATGTTTGTTTTGTGTTTTTCGTGTATGTTTGTTTTTCGCCTGTATTTGCTAATGGTTTTGGATGATTTAACCTTATGGAAGTTATTACAATTTATACTAAGTGAAAAATGAAAATCATCTTGAAAAAAAAAAAATATATGAAAATCATCTTCACTTCTTGATGAATCATTAAATATACGTGGTGAGTGATTTGATGGTGAGTTACATTTTTAAAAAAAGACATCCGCGGGTTATTGAAATGAAGAAGAAATATACGACAAGACAGTAAATTTATTGAAATGAATAGGGCAACACACATGATTCAAGGACCAATGAAATTTAGATCAAGTCACTTGTTGCGTTTACTATGCGTTTCGTACTTTCACTTAAGAGTGTTATTCAAATCGAGTCAAGCACTCTGTATTTTTTGAGCTTGTGCTCGTTTAACATAATCAAAATCGTATACAAGTTGGTTTAGCAAACATGATATAATCAAAATCGTATACAAGTTGGCTTAGCAAACATGATATACGCGTTTGTGAAAATGTTCGGCTCGGCCCTGCTTCTCTTGACAACTAGTTTAAGTAAATGCACGAGCCGTATTCAAACTTTCACGGTCAAACCATGTTGTACTCACAAACATCTCAGTTTGAACAAACATCTCACTTTCACGGTCAAACCATGTTGTACTCATAAGGTAAGTAGGGTAACCAAACAACATAAATTTTGCTTTTCCTAAGATAAAAGGATACACAGGCAAACTTCAATGCACATATTTATAAATTAAAGTCTCTTTTTAATTAGTATCTAATACTATTTTATTACTAGATTCAAGCCATCATATCTGAATAATGAAACCCTGTCATCCCTTTCACATGATCTCACCAAACAACTACATGAGGATGTCAAAAGATTAACAAAATGCAACTTAAACCTATATCATAATCCAACACCCACATTGTGAAAAAAACAAGAATAACACCCACATCAGATTCAAAATATTAAACTTTCTACCCCAAATGAGATAAAAATTTTGAAAAACAATCAAATTCAGGCCAATGCTCTTGATTCATCAGCAATCAACCAATCATCCTCCACAAAAGAGACCTGTCCTAAAAACTCCATATTTTCCCCCCAACAAATATCTACTTCAAAAAAGAAAAAAAGTCAAGAGTCAAATGCTAAATGACCTGGGGGGCGCCTTGTAGTTATCATACGCGTTTCGAGCCGACTCACACTTCTGCAGAATATCCTCGCAAACCTTCACCGACCCCTCCGAGAATTTGGTCAACCTGTCAAGAACTTTAGTCAAACTCCCCTGTATTGACCCCACATTCGAACCACCTTCATCGTCATGCTTCAACTCGGTCAAACTCTCATCCATTTTTTTCGACTCCTCAGCTTGGTGCCTGACCGAACGCCTCAGCTCGGCCAAAAAACCCTTAACCGAGTCACTCACCTCCTGAGAAGGCAGAGACTTGATCCCGGCCGACCAATCGCGACAGAGGACGAAGATTGGCGGCGCCAGGTGGCGGCGTGGGGAGAAGGCTGCCCGGCGGCCCTTGTGGCGGTCGCCAGGTGGCGGCTGGAGGATTGAGTTCTGGAGCCAGCTGTTGAGGGACCCGACATATGAGGTGTAGCTGTTGACCCAATCAGTGAAGCTGAGGCCGAAAAACTCGACTTCGTCCATGAGCTGGAGGATGATCTGGCGCTGAGTCTCGCCAGGTGGCGCCACGGCGGAGCCCCGAGCATGATAAGCTAGCGAGATTGTGATGTATTGGGAGTGGTGGCACTCGAGCATGGCCTTCCACATTCGAGTCAGTCTGCATATAGATTGCGAAGATATAATCCATATATACATTGTACAATAATTATATTAGTACGATTATTGTTATTATTAGGATAGAAAATAAAAAGTTCAGAGTATAGCAAAAAAAGGAAGGAAGAAAAAAGGGATGGTTACAAACTTTTGCGCCTATTTTTGAAATATCATCATCTCAAACTTGTTGAATCTTGGATGGTAGAAGGGTGAAATGCGATGATGCATACAATGTAGCTAGCAGAATATGTAATTTCAAATTCGACAAGACCCTTGAAAAAACAGATAAAAAAAGATCTAGTTTAGAGAGAGCAAATTAAACCCAAGAAAAAAAATAAAAATAAAAAATAAAAATAAAATTAGGATATTACAAATGCCTAATCAGAATTGATTTTTTTTTTAATTTTTTATATTAATCTCAAGAGTCTTTGTAATTAAGTCATCACCATTTGTAGTTTGATATTACAATCAAACATGGGCTCTTGACTGTAAATGCTTCAATGAGAAATAACGGAGGGCAACAAGGTCAACTGGGAATTAAGACGCCAAATAATGGTATAAATTACAAGTAGTAGTCTTTCTATTTTTGAGCTTTATATAACAGAAATGTATCTCTCACCCGTGAATGAGTTCGAGGAGCTGTGGCAGCATCTCCTCGTCCCGCATTTTCTCGATTCTTTTCGAAATTGTGTCGACTGAATGAAGTGCGACTCTCATCCGTGAGTGAAGATCTTTCACAGCTGCCCGGGTTTTGTCAATGATTTGAGAACTCATATCCTTTGCAAATTGGTGCCGAAGCTGGTCACACTTCCTGTTATATTCCTTTTGTATAGACTCACTGGCCTGCAAACACCAAATACAAAATTAGAAAAGACATAACGAGGTACAATACGAATTAAGAAACTTCCACAATTTCACGAAGTACAACACTTCCACAACACGAGGTACAACATCTGATGAAATAAGCTACTAGGTCCTGAATATTCTGAGAATTTGGGAGAAAACAAATAAACTCCAAACATTCACAACAGTCTAAATAGGTCACGAATTAAGCCATTTCCACAATTTCACCAAAAAGGAAAAGAAAACGAGGTGTAAAAGGGCATGCTTCATAACGAGGTACAACACGAGCAATATGAAAAACAATTAAATAGTTCAAAACTTGGAATCAGTCAATAGTAGCAACATAAAGCTTAAAATAAAAAAAATAAAAAAAAAAATAAAAAAAAAATCCTCGTTGCAAAATGTAACATTTTAAAAAGTACCTTCACTTCGTCATAAAGCTTTCTCTCCCACGCGTAGAGTCTATCAAGTGTGGAAGAGTGACTCCCAGAAATCATGCAAAACTCCTCTACAAAATCACTTCCACTGTCACTATTATCATCCCTAGTCGCCAGAAGATTCTTAGACGAGGAAGACTTAGATGATGTTCTTTTCCACGTGATAACCTTGGTAACAAGTTGATCTGGTAACATATACATACAAATGCTCAGTGTGAGAATTCTGAAGAGGACCTTACTTAAGTTAAATTCCAGCTAACAACTTAACTCTGAATATTATTGCATCAAAAAATGAAATTCCATTATCCACATTGAAAAAAATCCCATTTGAAAAAAACAGTACATACCATCAGTGACATTCATACTTCCACCTTGGCAACAAGCTGCTCCAAGAGAAGGCATACAAATCGAGGCGGACGAACCACCTACGAGCACAATAATCACATAAAAAAACTACCCTATAAAAAAGAATGAACAAAATAAATAAATTAAAAAATTGAAATTCACATATATTTCCATTTTTCCCATCAAATGATCATCATCACCTCTGGCCTCAGCATACCCCACATGGATTTTGCTAGACTCGAGCATCCTCGATACTTCCTTCCCCGACTCAGAAGCTCTAAAGCAACGGTTATCAATGTCCCTTATACTACACACAAAATCCTTTGCCCTGTGCGTTATATACTCAGATGGATCTTCCCTCTCAGCAGCACATATATCCTTCTCCACCGAACCCCTATTCATCATCCTCGAACCCGATTCTACTCCCGAACCCTTTCCTACTTCTTTTTCACCTTCTTTCTTTCTCGGAGTCTCCATTTTAGGAGTCCCCCGCTCTTCATCATCACCACACAATTCACCACCATCTCCATTCATACCACCAAATGCACTCCTCTCGTCCTCAAAATCTCTGTTCTGACCATTTTGCCCCTCGAACCGAAAACTCCTCTCCGCAGGATCAAAGTAATCCCAAGACGACCCACACTCGTCGGGGGGCGGGGGAGGGGGCATTGAAAATCGACTCTCCTCCATATGCAGATTTCTCGGGCCCGGATTAAGCCGAACAGTTACTGCAGTGGGCCCGCCAGACCTCATGTAGCTAGCCCGAGCGGCTGAGCCCGAAATCGAAATCGGGCTCCTGTTGGCAAGATGTGGGGGTGAGGGAGAAGGGTAAGAAGAGTGCGAAGGGGTTTTATCGGGCTCGGTGGCCGATGTCGAGATGGAGGTCTCGATTATAACCTCGGACTCGGCATACTTTCTGAGGGCTGTGCCCAAGTTTCTCAAGGACTCGACATACGAGACGTGGGCTGCAGCTAAGGAAAATCGGGAGTCAATGGCTTGCTTTATGAATTTTTTCCGGTCTTTGCAGAGTTTGAGGGCATGGCTCTTCTCTGGCTTGGAGTTTGTGATGCCCATTTTGTTTGAAGGACAAATAGGGAATGCAAGTTTGAGCTGAGGAGGGTTTTTGGGTACAGCTTCAAGAGACAAAACGGGTTGGCTTTGAGATTCTCAGTTTTTCAAACAAAGGAATAAAGATGAAATGTCCCAAGAACAGAAAAATCCAGATGAGGGAGGAGGAATTGCAGTAAACAGGTAGAGGTTTTTTGCACTAATAACCCTCTTTATTTCTTCTCTACCCTTTGCGCTTTTCACCAAAAATCATACACCTTCAAAAACAGGAGAAAACAACGTTGGTTTATTTTTTCTGTAGAAGAAAAATTAAGGAACGCTAAAAAAAGATAATGGAAAACTAGAAGCTTCACCACCTCGTTGAAAACAAAAGGGGAAAAAAAACACACAACAATAGCAAAAAAAATGTAGACAAAAACATTCAACACGAGGTTCAGATGTAAATAACTCATATGGTTTTGATATGCCAAATCAATTGTAAACAGTGAACAAAACGATTTTTTTTTCTTTAAAAAAAAAAGGAAGAAAAAGTTGCAGGCAGATGCATATGCGCAGTATCTTTGAGGCCCAGAAAAACGAAGCAACCTTAGAGATAAACAAATCAATTTGAGGCAGGATTCGTGCACAGTCGCCCCACCTTCACCTTTTCTGCAGATTCTTAAGAGAAAAAATAAAATAAAAATTACAGGTGCGAGCCTTTTCAATGTGAAGAAAGAAGCGCACACACACGCTGTGAGAGAGAGATTAATGGTGATAAAAGAGAACTCAGTACAGTTTGACAGACACTCGAAAAAGGAAGAGTGAGCATAGAAATGTGCGTAAATGATACTAATCTCCGCATTAATTACACCTCTAATTCTCGTAATTCTCCTTTTTAAGCTGATGTGGATTTAAAAGTACAAGACAAGACAAAATGCACAAAACCTCTTTTTCATTTTTTTCTCCCTTTTTTTCTGGGTGGGGTTCGAAATTTGGAATCTTTATTATTTTCTCTCTATTATTTTATTTCTTGTTTGCCTTTGTGCTTGATTAAAAAACGAAAAAGGGAATATTGTAATTTTCTAAACAAGCAAGTTATCATAGCAATTACGACCTCATTTTATAAATGTCATTTTACTTTATCAACAATTGATTAAATAAATGACGTTTTGAATCTTTTGTACATATTTTTTTATTATTACCCTTATCTAGCTGATAAATACAATACATCTTTTCATATTCACTATTTATCTTTTCTCAAAACATCAATCTCTATCCTCATTAATGAAGATTATTATTGGCAAAAAAATATTCTTAATTAGTGTACTACTTCCCAAAACGACATCTATTGAAAAAAGGAGGAAGTAACAATAATTTTCGAATGCTTTTAATCTTTTTAATTGGATTTGATTTACTGAATAAAGTTAGTCAAGATTGAAAATATTAATTCAACGAAATATGAATTTAATTTTTAGTTATGGGTGATATGAGTTGAAAATATAATAATTAAAATTAATGTAATATAAATTAGGAGGTTGGTTCAAGAGCAATATGTTAGGCAGATTTCGCTACTTATGTAGCTATATCGAGGTTCAATTTCACCTTTATGAGCGGAAGCTTTGGTGATCCGTTACGATTTGTGTTTTGCATTGGTCGGACATTAAACTTTAAACTGATATGACAGATTCTTTAGGTGTTGTAGGAGGTAATTTTCTCTTTGAGTTGTTTGCTGATATCAAGAATATTTTAGTACTTTGAACTGTGGCACGTGTTTCCTGTATTGGATTTTCTCTTTGAGTTGTTTACTGATATCAAGAATATTTTAGCATTTTGAACTGTGGTATGTGTTTTCATATCTCACGGAAGAACAATGTTGCACAAAATATTGCTCATTGGGCGGTTGTATCAATATTTTCTTCTAATAGAAGGATTCCCTTCATGATTATAAATGATTTGTAGTTAAAAGTATATGATTGGATTAATAGTGAATTTTGTTGTAACTTTTGTAATAGTCGTTGATTGATATTCTTTAATTATATTCATATCGAGAAGAGTTAAGTTGGGTCATATTTGGGTTTGATTTTGAGTTAAAAGTTTGCATCCAATCATAGTTCCATTTCTTTTTTAAAAAAAAAAATAAAACTTATTTGATGAGTCAAAACCTAAAAGACCTTAAAACCAATAGCAGTCATCACTCGAGTAGAAATGTTATCACATTGAAGTTGTTGCGAATGTAGCTCGATTCGGTTAATGAAAGTTCAAGTTACGACTGCAAACGAGTCGAGCGGCTCGCGAGCCACTTGAGTCAATGCTCGAGTCGAGCTCGCTCAAACTCGAGGTCGAGTCAAGCTTGAGAAGCTCCATCGAGCAAACGAGTTGGCCTAGAGTATCATTCAAAAGGCTTGTAAGCTCGACGAATTGCTCGATTTTAATACCCCATATGCTTTTATATCAATATTAGAACACAAAGGCCAAAATTGTCTATTTAGATTAAAAATAGTACCTTTATATTTAAAGTTTAGTTGTTAAAATTTCGAGCCGAACTCAAGGCCGAGCATCGAGTCAAACTTGAGCATTTTTATTTTTCTCACGAGTCGAGCCGAGCACCATTTTATAACATGGCTTGTCAGGCTCGAGCACTGGATAAAAAAAGGTTTGATATGCGCTCGATAAGGTCCATGCTCGACTTGTTTGCAGCCCCAGTTCGAGCTAACTCGCTTGTTTAAATGACCCGAGTCGAGCTTCTTCTTGAATAGTTTATTTTCTTATTACTCTACAGGTTTCAAACTAATAGTCGAGTCGACCATATTCACAAACGCAAAAATCATGTACGTAAACAACTCGTCTATTTGATAGATGAGAGAAATTGTTGGTTTCTTGTATTTAGATAGCAACTTACCAACAAAAAAAAGTTTTTATGGCGAACTTATAAAACAAGATACTTTGAAAATTTGAAAATTTTTCCCCTTTTATAATAATTTTAAAAAAAAATATTTTTAAAATTAAATGATGATAACAATACCAATTGTTTAAAATTAAATATATGTATTTATTAGGCTAATTTGAGGTTTTCATGGAAATTAATGAGTCAATTGAGAGCTTCCAAAACAAATCAAGGTTATATTAGTCAATCACTATCATTACCAAATGTTTCAATACAACTTAAGGGTTATGTTAGTCAAACTATTATGGAATTACCAAGTTAGTTTTTCAATATATTTGGAATGTCCGAACATAAAATTATAGATTTAGAATAATATTATTTTTTATCCAAACCAAACTACAAAGGATGTTTTTTCGCCAAGTAGGATTTGGAAGCCGTGCGAAACTGCCGCTTAAGATCAGCCCATTTTGCAATTATATATAGGGTGGTCGTATCATTTATTCATTTGTGAAAAATTCGGCTTATTCATTTGTCACCCTATATATAGGGTGGTCGTATCATATATATATAGGGTGACAAATTTCTTCCACAATATTTTCTCCAGTCTCCGGAGTTAATATGAGCATACTTATGAAAAAGGATAGTCCTTTTCGTTCTTCTACAATAAATATATTTTCTACTAATATAGGAAATAACGTACTGTGACAAAAATGCCCCTACATTTTCTCCCGTCGAGGGACCCCTTACTCTGTAACGACTCTTTTTCCTCCAGCCTACTTTTGTTGTTTGTCCCATTTTTGTTGCGTTTTTCGTTGTTATTTTGTCCCTCATATTGAGTCATTTAGATGGTTTTAGGATCATTTTGTCCTTTATTATGTGTTTTGCGTTCATTTGAGTGTTGCGATGTTTTCCGTTTGTTTTCCGGTCTTTTTCTGTTCTCTTTTCGTTTTTGGTGTGTAGTTTGAAGACCTTGGGAGAACAGGTTTTCGAGAATCTTGTGGGGAAGCTGACACCATTAGATAGAGGGGTTCGTTAGCGACACGTAGGAAAAAACGGAACTCAATTCTGAGTTAAAACGAACCCGAACGAGCAAAAATCGTAAGATGGTGCAGTGCAGATTTTGGTCTCCGCGGCCGCGACCCTTTCTTCGCCGCGGCCGCGGCGAAGAAAAGCTGCCAGGTCCCAAATTTCTGCAATGAAAATCCCGCGGCCTCGGAGCTCTCCGCGGCCGTGGATGGCGCGTTTCAACCTTTAAAACCAAATTCTTGCGTTTTTTGACGGGGGAGACATGGGGGTGCGATTGGGGATGCCCTAGCCTGAAAAACTTCCTCTCCATTCTCCATCTTCTTCCTCTCCATTCTCCATTTTCTTCTTCCTCCTCTTCTTCATCTTCTTTCTTCTTCTTCTTCTTCTTCTTCTTCTTCTTCTTCTTCCACCACTTTATTTTATTTTCTTTCAAGGATTAAGCTTGTATTATGGATTCAACTCTTGGACTTGGATTGATTGTAAGTTTAATTTTTCTTTGAATTAATTCATGCATAATGGTTAATTTAGGAGAAATACTTTGTTGTGTTGAATCAATAATGAGTAGCTAATCCTTTCTGCTAGGGATAGGGGATGATTGTTCTTGATTGATTTCGTTATTATTGGGCTTTAATTTGTTCCTGCTAGTGCGAGTTGCTTTAATTAGGGTTAATTAATTCTTACTTGATAACTTGATATAATCGAAGGGTGACACTTCGATCTTGCAATTGGTATCAATTGAATGTTAATTTGTTGAGTTAGGGTTTGTTGGTTCTATATGATTAGTTGATTAAACACCTTCTAGTTGAATTAGCGACTTTTAGAACCGAAAGGGGAGAAGTCGTAGACCGAGGCTCGCATGAGATAGATGATTTCGTAACTGAATAGTCTATAGGTTTTGGATTGAAATACATACTTGTCGATGACCCGTCTCTTGTTACGAAAAGTTATTGAGATTGGGATAATTGACATGTGTTGTATGCTCGAGCTAGCTCGTCTATGTTCAATCATTGGGAGCGAACCGCTAGATGTCTAAGCGAGAGTGTCAATCTCAAACCGAACAATTGATTGCCCGGTTTTGCTTAGAACTTGAATAAATTATCCCCGATTTCCTAGCTTCTTTATCGCTTTCTAGTTCGTACTTTAGGTTCGTTTTTGTTTGTTGTTGATTTCTTAGTTGATAATATATTCCTCATTTCTGATTAGAGTGTTTAGGTTTTTATCTTCTTTTTGTGTGAAATCAATACCGAAGTTAAATTCCGAACCGCCTTCCTCGAGAGATCGACCCGGGAAACGAATCCTTGATTCGGTACTCGGTAAAAATAACAATTTGTGCAACAACATTTGTCTTTTAAAAATAATTTCTATGTATGTATATGTACTATGGTTGCTCTGTAGCAGCAGTTGCTTTTATAGATCGGTTCGTTTATTTCTTTTAAAATAAAATATTATTTAACGTAATATAAAAATAAATCAAATATGAGAATATTTTTTTAACAAAATATGCAATTAAAGTTGCTTTTTTGTTGATGAATATCCAGAGTATATCTGCCAGAAATTTGTAGCTGTGTAAATATTCCAGAGAAGTTTTTATGAAGGGCTGCTTTTTTCCTAATGCAGGTCTTCTTTATGATTTAAATATGAAGATTACGAAAAAGGTAATAATAAATTAATAATTAAAAAAAAAAAAGAATTGTGTTAAACCATGTATGCTAATGCCTGTCAAACTTCGATGAACATTCGAACTTTTTAGTTACATTTTTTTTTTATCATTTGTTGAGGTTCTAGTTTCATATTTTCAGCTTCTTTAGAGCATCTCCAATGAAAAATTCTACATTTTATGTTGTATGACATGGAAAAAGAAAAATAGAAAATTGTGTTCCCAATGGTTAGGGTGAATTGTGGTATTATATGTGATGTGTAAAATTGTAATTGATTGGAGAAGAGAGATATATTGAATAAATAATATAATATATGATAGAAGTTGTTTAGAAGGACTTCTACATCTAGAAAACCTTCTAGACATTTTCCATGCTACATCAGATTTTTTGTGCCATGTGGCAACAAAATAAAGTAATAGAAAAACCATTGGAGATGCTCTTAGTTTCCCCCCTATAACTTCGCATTTTTTTTTAAGTTTTATGGAGTGATTAATATGTTTTTACTGGAAAATGTTAGAATATCACTTGTGAGTTGTCCCACATCGTTCATACATGGAAAATAGACCCACCTTATAAGACTAATGGGCTACTTCTCCTTCAACCAATTGGTTTTGGGATGAAATCCCATTTGGGCTTCATATGGGTTTTTCCCTTCTTTCATGGTGTCTTTTATAGTAGTGGGCCAACACCCATTTTCCCCCTTGGGCAAAACTTGCCAAAATGACACGATCAGTACTTGGTATTTGCAATATTGGTAACCATATTGAAATATATTAAATATTCAACTGCACTTATGTTACACAGCCTAATTACGACATGATTCTTTTAGAAATATACACTTTTGTTATAATAATGTATAATTCTGACATGAGTGTTTTACAAATATACACACTTTCACAATAAAATGTCTTACTTTGAAAAAAATACCACAATAGAAAAATGATATTTAATTATATAAATATATATTTTTATTCAAATAGTTCAACGGGTCTATCTATTAAGTATCAATTAGGTGGGTTAGCCAAAGTTTTTCATTTATAAAAACCAAACAAACAAAATTTTATCCAATATTGAATTTAAACTGAATCGAAATAACTTTTTTTTTTCAATATTTGGCGAGCATTAGAATAATTTATTTCAGTCTATTTATATCTATATCTATATCTATATCTATATCTATAATCTATAATATTCTAAATGAGTTAATTAATCTGTAAAAATATGATATGCCTACAATATCCTTACTTTTTCACATTCATAATGTCAGATTTGTAATTTAATATCCATTCTATACTATATTTTAATTATTAACTAATATATAATGTATTATTATATCCAACAAACAGCAAAACACGATCAAAGTCATTCTCTCTCAAGCGACCAAATAACGCGGCCAGGCCCCAAAAAAATTCATCCTCCTATCGATTCCTCCTCTCAGATGCCTTACTGTGAGTAAGAAGTAGGTAAACCAATTCTTGAAGTTATCTGCCAAGTTGATGTTAATTTGAAGAAGGAAACAAGAGCTATTTCAACCTTCTTTATGCTCTCTTTAGTACTGGTAATGTTTCTGAGTTTTTTTATTTTTAGGCTTCATATATAAAATTTTCAAAATATATTATTTAGCTAGGCATTTCCAACGATTGGAAGATAATTATTTATTGGATGTACTATTGATGTTAAATTAATTTGTTAAAATAACAAGAGAAATAAGATGATAACCGGAAACTATGATGAATGTCCTGTTTTTCGTTTGGTTAAGGGCTGGGTTTATTTTTCTTGTCAAACCTATGACAGCGTGATAATCATAGTTGTACTAATCTCACTGGTGAACCAACTGATTTCTTACATACACCTATCGATGGGTGATTTTTCTGAAAAGTAAGAACGATGTTTTTAAGAAAAAGGCTTAAACAAATTTAATTAAACATCTGCAGGCTGAACATTTGGATCCCATGCTCATTCAACAGACGAAAAAATGTGAGTGATGCTTTTGAAACTTGGAGGGCCCTAGTCCCTGCAAGATGTTCAGCCTTTCTTGTTCAATTTGTTTGCTGATCCTGTATGTTTTATGGTCATATCATGTGTATCTTACTAATTAGGTTGTTTGTTTTCATATTTATTATTATTATTTTTTTATTTCCCTGCCAAAGGATATCATTCACCTTCCGAGGTTGTTCCGATTTCTTCAACGTACTTTTGCGCAATTAATTTCAGTTTTACGAGCTCCTAAAAGTAAAGAAGGTTATGCTGCTATTGGAGGTGGTTCGCCATTGCGTAAAATAACAGATGAGCATGTTTCAGGGCTGAGTATCATTTTAATAGTTTTTGATATTATCAAGATGGAGACAGCTTTTAGGCTATAAAACATTTCATTCATACTCTTCGTAGGCAAGTGCATTAAAATCGGCACTAGAAGCTAAAGAATTTTCTGCAAATAGGACTATGTTGCCCTGCGGTACTGGCATCCACTCACTCAGGAAGCTGTCCATCAGGCAAGTTACTCACCTGAGCCTCCTGATAATTCTGATAAACGACGAAGGTCAAAATAGGAATTGCGCTGCTTTCTTGGTTGTTTTCCCGTTAGTTTTGTTTTCCGTCTTCAGAAGCTGTTTTCCCGTTAGTTTTGTTTGCCCCAACAGTTTTCCTCGACGTGGCCATACTTTTGACAATTTTTGCATTGATTTTTCTCTTGAAACCAACATTCTTCTTCTTTGTGATTATTTTTATTGCAAATTTCACATGGTGTATCATACCATACTTTCTTTTTGTTATATTCTATTTTGTTATTGTTATTTTCTCTAAATTTTTTCCCCCCAATTTTAGAATTCTGAGACCGTAAATTTAGTTTTGACTCAAATGAATTTTCTACTGTGTCATTTTCACGCATACTCAATCTTTTCTCATAAGCTTCAAGTGAACCTATTAATTCAGTCACTGACAATTTATTCAAATCTTTAGTTTCTTCTGTCGTCGTGACGATAGGATCATATTTAGCTGGTAGAGTAATTAGAATTTTTTCTACCACCCTTTTGTCAGTGATATTTTCTCCATATGCTTTTAGTTGATTTACTACTTCTCTTAATCGAGTGTAGTAATCTTTAACGGTCTCAGATTCTTTTATTTTCATATTTTTCAAATCTCTCCTTAAGGTTTGTAATTTTATATGACGTGCCTTGTCACTGCCCTGATATTCTTCTTTTAGAGTGTCCCATGCCTCCTTTGATGTTTGTGCTCCACTAATTCTTGGAAATAGGAACTCCGTCATGGCCATTTGTAGTGTGTAGAGAGCCAAACCATCTTTTTCTTTCTTCCGACGAATTTTTCTTTGTCCGCATTAGACAAAGTGGATATGTCCTAGGGGATAGTATACCCGTTTTCGACAATATTCCATAGGCCTTGAGACATAAAACATGTCCTCATTTTAATGGCCCAATGTTATAATTTTCGCCGGAGAAAATGAGAATTGGTATTTGATTGGTGTTTCGGAAAGTGGCCATTTTGAAGATTTAGTAGAATATGCGAAAGTAGAAGGATATGTGAAATTGGGGTATTTGGACAAGATATGTAAAAATAGAGGGATATGTGATAATAATTTCGCCCAAATATTGATCAAATCGGGCTCTGATACCACTGTTGGCATCAATGTAGAGGAAGAGAATGTATGAAGATAATGGAAGATAAATGTATTATTGTGGAAAGAAAGGAATTCAATTACTTTATTTATTTATTTTATTTATTTGGTGTAGTGATTTGTTGAAATAGGAAGAGTGTTTTTCATTCCCAATTTCACAATACAATGAGGCACAACTTACACATATATATAGCACAAAAGTGAAAATCTAGAGAATGCTAAGTCGGTGGGTTTTGCTTGAATGTATAAGAAATATCTAGATCAATGTTGTCACCATATCCTCTAGGATGTTCTCGGTGAGTCGGTGCAAATTGAGCATCAATATTCAACAGAGGCAAAATTGAAGCAAGGAAATTCGAAGGGAATAACACGAAGGTGAATTAAAGAAAGTAGCAACTGAAAATTCAAATGATTGTATGCCCGACTGTTAAACATAATGATAAAAATAAATGAGTAGCTAAAGAACAAGAAGACTTACCTGTTAGATTGCTCGGCCGAAGCTAGAGCAGATGAACGGCCATTCGGCCGGAGAAACAGAGCGAGAGATAAACATCCGGCAGCTCAAGGACTCCTTTTGGGCCTAATGTTACTTTCAGCCGTAGCAGCACTGTGAAACGGGCCAACCCAGCCCGGACCGATGGGCCCTCTGCGGGCTCGCCGAAGACGGTTTGAAGTGGGAAAACATTGTTTTGTAAAATATTTTTTTAATCGACCATTTGCTTGTGTGCCTTTTATGTCCCCTCGTCATTCTTGCCAACCATTGCAATTAGATTGTATAAAATTAATTTCATAATTACAATTGCGAATATTAAGGCTCAAGGCCTCGACAATCGCCTAGGCCTTGAGGTTCTCGTAGGAATATTGGAAATAGCTGGTTGCGCTCGAAAATAAGGCTTTTTAATGTCGTGTCGGGACCTCGAAAAATCATTGAATAGGAGTTGAGAAAGTTGTGGGGCCCATCGGGGTGGGAAGAATGAGTAGAAGATTCCTGGCTGTTTAGTTGTCTTCTAGTCTGTAATTGTGTGTTTTCTAGTTTAATGAAAG